CACGCAGGGCAAGTAGATAAATAGGTACTGTTCCAACAGGAAGGTAAACGGTGTTTCCGTGCGCTCTGGCTTCGCCAGAAGCGGCTTAGTCATGCTGGCCACATGACCTGGAAAAACTGTCTGCAGAAGCGGACAAAAGCCGGCACCCTCAGCCTGTAAACCGAGATGAGCGCCGCAACCCCAGAATCGTCTGCGACTGGACTTAACAGTCAGGGGTCCCTTTACCTTTACTAAGGGGGACTGAGAAACAGAGAATGGGTTGTATGTGAGGATGGATAAGTATTTTAAGATGCTATTATTCTTTTATTTGATATACTTTTTAGGGTTGTTGAGAAGAGAGAAAGACTAAAAAACACTTTGGCAAACTGAAAATGCAACTGCGAAAAAGTAGGATGGTGCAGTCAACACTTTGCGCAGGCTAGCCTGTCCCATCAAGCAACCACATACTGGATTTTCGAAGGACCTACAGTCAAAGTCCATTTTTTGTAAGTCTTAATATTCTGGTTGTATCCACACCCCTCAGAGATAGGCAAGCTGGATATGGACTATTTATTCTTAATATTCTACATCAGTATTACATGTATATCCATTCCATTTTTCCTCTAAGGTGGCATTCAATAATCTTCTTTCCTACTTACCCTCATAACTATCGAAGGTGAAAAATAGATCTGACCCACTTGTGGGTAATTGACCAGAGTCAGCTGGGTGCCTAGATTCAGAACATAGGGCTTTGCACACATGCCAGGAGGAGAGAGTCTCTAGGCGACAGGAGCAGGGGGCTACTAAGCAGGATCTGTTGATGATGATGAAATCCACAGGGTTACTGTTGTCCTTGTCACCAGAGGGATTTATTTGGCATTCCAGGCACTCTTGTTGCTGCAAGTGCATTGCCATTTAATTCAGGGTAGAGAAATGAGTAAAGCAAACGATAATTGAAGGGGGGGGAAAATACTCTCAGAGTTAACCAGCAGCATAGCATGGAATATAGGTTGTTGGTCTGATTTAAAGCTCTTGTCCCCCCCCACACACTTTACCCCTCCAGCAATGGGACAGCTTCTGATAATCGGCTGTCCCACTCAAAACAGGAATGTGTAACAGTGGTGGGGCAGTAGTGATGTTTTTTATCCAACTCTTATCTGCCACTTCTTTTTAACATGGCTTTCATCACTTCTGGCGGTTCCCTCACTATGAGAAGTAAAGTTACAGGGGACCAAGCAGAGGGCCTTCTCGGTAGTGGCTCCCGCCCTGTAGAACACCCTCCCATCAGATGTCAAGAGAATAAATAATTATCTGACGTTTAGAAGACATCTGAAGGCAGCCCTGTTTAGGGAAGTTGTTTTGTTTTTTTTTAAAATGACTGATGTTTTAATGTATTTCTAATCTCCTGTTGGAAGCTGCCCAGAGTGGCTGGGGAAACCCAGCCAGATGGGCGGGTTATAAGCAATTAATAATAATAATAGTAATTGTAATAATAGTCATTTGTATTCTATTTTTTGCCACATTATTGTATTCCCCCCCTTATTTTATTTAAATGAAAACACATTAAAAGAGGGAGGCAAATGGATTTTTAAATATGGATGGAGCTTCAAAATCAGTTTTGATAGAGTATGGGGTGATGCTGCTGTTAAGGGGAAAAGGGAGACTATTGTATCTGATCTCTCATCATGAGGGTAACATATGAAATGACATGTAGTCCCATAATTTCAGTGAAAGAACAATGCATCCAGTGAATGCATTTATTTATTCATACTAGTATTTATATACCACAATATAAAACCCATTAAAAGGAGTACAAAACAATAATTGAAATGAGTAGCTACTGAAGGAAATTCTGAACAACCACTTGGGCCTGTTGGCATTAAAAAAAAAATCTTCAAGAGCCATCTAAAAGTCAAAAGCAAGGAAACCTGCCAAATCTCTGTTGGAAGAGTATTCCACAGCATGGGATCAGCAAAACCTCTTTCCACTCAATAAGGATGGTGGACTAGAAGAAGACTAGAGATTTAACTTCCTTAATATTACCGCTTCAAAAAGATATTTGGTATGTAAAAGAGGGGAGGAAGGGCCTTTATCCTGCCTCCTTACTGAGTGGGAAGAAGTGTGCTGCTTGAGAGCAATGAGCTGGGGGAAACCGCATGGTGTATCTATGGCATGCGTGTGTGCCTGTGTGTGAAACACTTCATTAATAGCAGTGTTCACATAAAATACTGGAAGCCCAGCTACGGTTTAATGTATTTGTCCCAAGTTTTGTAGAAATTAAAATGTACACCAACACAGGTGTGATTTCAGAACCACTGGCAGTCATCTTTGAGAATTCCTGGAGAACAGGCGAAGTCCCGGCAGACTGGAGGAGGGCAAATGTTGTCCCTATTTTCAAAAAGGGGAAAAGAGAGGACCCAAATAATTACCGCCCAGTCAGTCTGACATCAATACCAGGGAAGATTCTGGAGCAGATCATTAAGCAAACAGTCTGTGAGCACCTAGAAAGGAATGCTGTGATCACCAATAGTCAGCATGGATTTCTGAAAAATAAGTCATGTCAGACTAACCTGATCTCGTTTTTTGACAGAATTACAAGCCTGGTAGATGAAGGGAACGCAGTGGATGTAGCCTACCTTGATTTCAGCAAGGCATTTGACAAGGTGCCCCATGATATTCTTGTAAAGAAGCTGGTAAAATGCGGACTTGACTATGCTACCACTCAGTGGATTTGTAACTGGCTGACTGACCGAACCCAAAGGGTGCTCATCAATGGTTCCTCTTCATCCTGGAGAAGAGTGACTAGTGGGGTGCCACAGGGTTCTGTCTTGGGCCCGGTCTTATTCAACATCTTTATCAACGACTTGGATGATGGACTCAAGGGCATCCTGATCAAATTTGCAGATGACACCAAACTGGGAGGGGTGGCTAACACCCCAGAGGACAGGATCACACTTCAAAACGACCTTGACAGATTAGAGAACTGGGCCAAAACAAACAAGATGAATTTTAACAGGGAGAAATGTAAAGTATTGCACTTGGGCAAAAAAAATGAGAGGCACAAATACAAGATGGGTGACACCTGGCTTGAGAGCAGTACATGTGAAAAGGATCTAGGAGTCTTGGTTGACCACAAACTTGACATGAGCCAACAGTGTGACGCGGCAGCTAAAAAAGCCAATGCAATTCTGGGCTGCATCAATAGGAGTATAGTATCTAGATCCAGGGAAGTAATAGTGCCACTGTATTCTGCTCTGGTCAGACCTCACCTGGAGTACTGTGTCCAGTTTTGGGCACCACAGTTCAAGAAGGACACTGACAAACTGGAACGTGTCCAGAGGAGGGCAACCAAAATGGTCAAAGGCCTGGAAACGATGCCTTATGAGGAACGGCTAAGGGAGCTGGGCATGTTTAGCCTGGAGAAGAGGAGGTTAAGGGGTGATATGATAGCCATGTTCAAATATATAAAAGGATGTCACATAGAGGAGGGAGAAAGGCTGTTTTCTGCTGCTCCAGAGAAGCGGACACGGAGCAATGGATCCAAACTACAAGAAAGAAGATTCCACCTAAGCATTAGGAAGAACTTCCTGACAGTAAGAGCTGTTCGACAGTGGAATTTGCTGCCAAGGAGTGTGGTGGAGTCTCCTTCTTTGGAGGTCTTTAAGCAGAGGCTTGACAACCATATGTCAGGAGTGCTCTGATGGTGTTTCCTGCTTGGCAGGGGGTTGGACTCGATGGCCCTTGTGGTCTCTTCCAACTCTATGATTCTATGATTCTATGACCCTATTGCATGAATTACTGAACCAAATTATTTAAGTCTTGAATAAATGACAGAACAAAAATAAGCAAGCTGCACTACATGTGCATGCAATAAGGACAATGTCACTAATATTACAATCCACAGAGGTGACATTTCCAAATGCCTATTCAACTTTTCTGTGTATGAAAAATCCAAATCTTTCTTCTCTTTAGATTCATTTGGCCTTCTTCAAGGGCAGCCAGGTGCACAGACTCATCTTACATTACAACGTCTCACAAATCCCTTATTTAATCTTCTGGGTTTACATTGCTTTTTGAGCTAGGGTAAGCGGCAGCATGAAAATGCTTCATGTAAATGTTGCTTTAATCCTATGAAAGCCACAAAACAGGCCTAGCTGAATGAGCAGGAAACTGAGCTCAGGAACTCTCTGTGACCTTGATTGCACTGTCGCTCTTGGCACCAGCATGGTGGCCACAAGGTCATGCTGAGGACGAGGAAAGCGACCCAGTCTCACTTGTAGGACCTCCTTTGTATGGATCAGCTGGGCCAATCTGTGTTCTGTGGTGTCTGATGTTTACAATGCTTTGAGCTCTAGGGTTCGATTACACATCTCTCCAATTGCAGATAGATTACAGAATTTCTATCCCCAAATTTGGATGTGACATCAGTCCAATGTGAAATTATTCTTTATTGCTTTTGGTTTTAAAGTATTTTGGAGGGTGGGAAATAAATAGAACAATGCAGAAAGTTCAAACAAACAAATGAGTGAAGAAATTATTTAAAAACACTCCATGTGTCACCACTCTCTTAAAATGTACCAAGTACTAGGTCTGTTAACATGTGTTGGTGGTAAAATGCAGGGCTTGGAGGACTATCATTAACGTGGCCTCTGGGAAAACACAAACGCACTTTCTGAAATTAAATCTTCAAGTTTGCCCACCGCAGTCAGTTGCTGGCATGTTAACCTGTAGCTGAGGCCTCTCATCCAGTGCCAATGCAAATACTAAGGAACAAGAAGAGCAAAGATCCTTTTTTGTTGTTCAGTAATATTAAATCACAGAAAAGGGGAAAAGAGATAGCAACACTCAAATTTTAAACTCAAATACATGCGCACAGGATTATTTTTCACATTGTCTAAACTGTACTTGCTTAGAAACTTCTTTTTTCATGTTTGTAGAAGAAAAAGATAAGAAAAAAACAACGAAGACTTTTCTCAACAACAATGTACACAGAGTGGGTGAAGATGAGAATCTCTCTGCTTTTTATTACTGACCTTCAACATAATACAGGTTTTGCAATAAGTATGGTTTCATGATCAGTGTGGAAATGCAGCCTAGTTCCCACAACTGTTTTATTGGCAAAAGTAAGAAAGGGCTCGGGTCAGTTTGGAAATTAGTACAAGAATATAACTTGAAATTAGAACTTGAGAAAAATAGAACTGAACAAGAAAAATTGAGGCTTGAGCAAGAATTGGAAAAAGAAAAATTGAGGGCTGAGGAAGAAACTGAACAATTTAGGCTTGAGCAGGAATTGGAAAAAGAAAAACTGAGGGCTGAGCAGGAAAGGGAACAGCAGCGGTTTCAGTTAGAGAAGAGACGGTTGGAATTAACAGTTTTAGAAAATCGTAATAATAGTAATAACACTGATGGGCAGAATCAACTAGAGATAGATTTAAAACGCTTTCCTGAGTTTAGAGATAAGGATAGCCCAGAAGCATTTCTAGTATCCTTCGAGAGAGCCTGTCACGATTTTCAAGTGAGAGAGGAAGAGAAAATGATGATCTTGAGAGCTAGAATAAGCGGTCCTCTAGCCAAAATATACGCTCAAATGACTGAGGAAAAATCCCGAAATTTTGATGTGTACAAGCAGTTAATATACACACGCTTTGGGATTACCTCAGAGCAGTTGAGAAAAAAATTTAGAAGTGAGACAAAGGTGAGGGAGGAAACCTATGAGCAGATGGGGGCAAAGATAAAAACTTACCTCACAAGATGGTTAGAGCAAGAGAATGCAGACACGGTACCTAAGATTAGAGAAGTGATAGCGTTGGAGCAATTTTATGACACAATAAATGGCCAATTGAAGTACCTGATAAAAGAAAGGAACCCCAAGACAATAGAGGAAGCAGCTGGTTTAGCCGATAAAATAAATGAAATCAGAGACCACAGATTTGATGGGCCAAAACTTGGTGGGAGATATTGGGAAACAAACAAAAATAAATTTCATCAAACCAAAGGAAATATTACCTCAGAAACCGATAAGAGAAGCAGCCCCTCATCAAAAAGCCCACATGAGAAGGCACACACCCATACAGAGTTTACTGAGGGAAAAGTCAATAAAACAAGTTATGCAGGACCTAAAGACATTTCATGCTGGAGATGTGTAAAATTAGGTCATAAAAGTTTTGATTGTAAAACAGGAAAAGAAACATCTAGTTATAGCACCACACAGAAACAGACATATTGTATCCAGCCTGTGGAGCAGGGCCCAACTAGTCAGGTTGTCAAGGAAACGGACATGGCAACTAGGCCCGAGCCTGCTGAGGTAGTAGAGGCCCAAGTCCTGCACTGTTATGCGATTCAACAAGATAATCTCTTGTTGAAGAACGCTGGAGAGTATATCTGGATAGACGGAAAAAGATATCTCGGGTTAAAGGACACGGGATCGCAAGTCACCATAGTCCACCCGGAAATAATCAGGAATGAGGGCATAATTCCAGGAAAAGTGATGAAATTAAAAGGAATTTCGAAACAAGCAGAGATCCTGAAGGTGGCAGAAATAGATGTCAGGTTCAAAAACTGGGCAGGGAAGTGGCAGGTAGCCCTTTCAGAAGAAATTCCCGCCCCTGTGCTCATTGGTTGGGACATTTTAGAACATGTGCAGAGTACTTTCATAGTTACCAGAGCAAAAGGGAGCCCACAGTCACCTAATCCTGAGGGGGTGGATACAGTAGCAGAGGCAAACAATGCTGAAGGACAGCAAGGGCATGATCAGTGTGAGGAAAGAAAAAACACCTTTTTGTTTCCTTTGACTAAAAGTCAAACCCCAAGTTTTGCCAAAAAGCAAAAAGAAGATACTGAGTTACAAAGGTACTTTGAGGCAGCCGAGTCGGAGAGGCCATTAACTCCTGAGTGCCCAGAACGGATTTGTTTGAGCAGAGACCTTTTATATTGAGAAGTCCTTGCCCCACCATGTGGGGGGGGGGGTGTGTGAAGAAGTGAGAAGTCACTTAGTAATCCCACATGAATACCGAGGCAAAATCCTGCAGCACACAACAGTCTATTTGGAGCGCATATGGGTATTACACGTACAAAACAGATGTTGCAGGAATATGAATCCTTGTTCAGTAATATTCCAGGAGTGGCCAAGGGTGTGGAACATCGGATAGACACAGGGGAAGCCAAACCCATTGCTGTGAACCTCTACTGTATAACAGGAGGGTATGTGGAGAAGGTTTGCAATGAGGTGCGGGACATGTTAAAAGCGGGAATTATTGCACTTTCAGAAAGCCCTTGGGCAGCCCCTATAGTGCTATTGGACAAGCCCGATGGATCAGTACACTTTTGTTTGGATTTCAGAAAACTGAACCATGTCACCAAAGCAGATGCGTATCCCATGCCATGATTGGATGATCTGATAAGAGACCAGTGGGCGATGTCATTACATCACGTGTTTAGATTTAACCAAAGGATATTATCAGGTTAAGATGAATCCGAATGACCAAGAGAAGACAATCCATGGACATGACTTAAAGAAGAAAATTAGTTTACCCTATAAAAAAGAAAAATCCAGCTTGCATGTGGTATTTCCAATTTCCAAACACACCTGAGAATTCATACTTGGCTCCCCTTATTGCCTATATGCAGGAGGGATAATAGGAAGCAATGCCATTTTTGTTGTATACTATAACTGGGGCCAAAGGAGATGTGTTCTAACCTTTGACAGCAGCAGAAACAGTTTCTCCAGATCAGTCCCATATGGACAATCTTGAGGTTATAGAGGTACAAAATATCTGCTGCCAAATCTGCATTTGATAAAAAGGATTGCTGAAGGAGGAACGGCTAAGGGAGCTGGGCATGTTTAGCCTGGAGAAGAGGTGGTTAAAGGGTGATATGATAGCCATGTTCAAATATATAAAAGGATGTCACATAGAGGAGGGAGAAAGGTTGTTTTCTGCTGCTCCAGAGAAGCGGACACGGAGCAATGGATCCAAACTACAAGAAAGAAGATTCCACCTAAACATTAGGAAGAACTTCCTGACAGTAAGAGCTGTTCGACAGTGGAATTTGCTGCCAAGGAGTGTGGTGGAGTCTCCTTCTTTGGAGGTCTTTAAGCAGAGGCTTGACAACCATATGTCAGGAGTGCTCTGCTGGTGTTTCCTGCTTGGCAGGGGGTTGGACTCGATGGCCCTTGTGGTCTCTTCCAACTCTATGATTCTATGATTCTATGAACAGAGCATAGCCCAAATCCATCTTGCATGCTGTCAGTGTTTACAGCAGACCTTACAAATGGAACATGGAGATTAAAAATATATATAATGCATGTCTGAAGTAAGAGATATTAGCCCCAAGCTAGCATTCTTAAAGTAACAAAAGCACGGAGCAGGAGACTGGGAACTTTCAGAATTTAAAACTAGATCATGGAATCATTTCAGACAATGAGAACAGTAAGATGATGAGTAGAAGGTACTCTGAATATGATTTATTATCCTCTTACATGCAAACTTCCATATTTTTTTCATTTACAGCTATTTTCTATAATCTTGATAAAATTCAAAACTGAAGAATAATTATAGATTGGAAAGTGTTTATAGTGAGTTTGTCATGCTAAGAAATTATAGTATTTATTCTAAAGCAAGGTGTGCTAATAATTGACACCGCTTTAAATGCTTTTGTTCTTTCTAATTTCTTTTAAAGAACAGTATCCCAGTCTCCTCTTCTTTTATTCTTTTTATTGTTTTATTCCATCTATTATCCTCTTCAAAACTGATTTTCAATCTGCTAATTATGGACTCAATTTTTAGGACTCCTAACAACATAGGCCATTACATGACAGTTATTTTGTATGCACTTCATAATACTGGATGGCAATGTTTTTCAGAAAACCACCATTATTTTGGCATCCTTCTCTTGACATCTTTCTCCTCAGTGTTCCTTGCTGTCTATGTAATATACCGTATTTTTCGCTCTATAAGACGCACCAGACCACGAGACATACCTAGTTTTTGGAGGAGGAAAACAAGAAAATTTTTTTTCTGAATCTCAGAAGCCAGAACAGCAAGAGGGATCGCTGCACAGTGAAAGCAGCAATCTCTCTTGCTGTTCTGGCTTCTGGGATAGCTGCGCAGCCTGCATTCGCTCCATAAGACGCACACACATTTCCCCTTACTTTTTAGGAGGGAAAAAGTGAGTCTTATAGAGCAAAAAATACGGTATGTTTAGAGGTTTGAAGACTGCTTGAAGCACATTGGTGCTGCTTCCTACAATGACTGTCAGGCTGCTTGAAATTCTAGAGTTGGCAAAGTAGGAGAAGAAGTAATGAAAACAAAGGTGACTGGTGACTTTGTAGATGTGAATACATCATCTACAAAAATAACAGTAAATGCTTCAATAATGGTGAAGAAAAAGGGATGGGCCAATGGAGAACACAAATTAGAATCCTTTGTTCAAGGGACGTGGGTTGTGCTGTGGTCTAAACCACTGAGCCTCTTGGGCTTGCCAATCAGAAGGTTGGTGGTTCGAATCTGCATAACGGGATGAGCTCCCATTGCTCTGTCCCAGTTTCTGCCAACTTAGCAGTTCGAAAACAGGCCAGTGCAAGTAGATAAATATGTACTGCTGTGGCGGGAAGGTAAATGGTGGTTTCTGTAAAAGGTGCACTCTGGTTTCTGTCACAGTGCTCCGATGCGCCAGAAGCGGTTTAGTCATACTGGCCACATGAACCAGAAAAGCTGTCTGCCAACAAATGCCGGCACCCTCGACCTGACAGCGAGATGAGCGCTGCAACCCCATAGTCACCTTTGACTGGACTTAACAGTCAAGGAGTCCTTTACCTTTACCTATTACCTACCACAAGGTTTGTATCAGTTCTGCGCTAAAAGCCAAAATAAGGGGCGTAACCCCAAACTACTGATGAACACCAAATTATTAAGGAAATCACATTTGTTTTCTATCTTGTAAAATACTGCTACAACAGAAAAGGCAAGTATGGTAATATCAAATTATTAGCCTTAAAAAAACAACAACCTAGTTGGTTGTAATTAGCTTGTAACTTAGTTTAAGAACAAAGACATGAATGATGAATTTGATTTATATTGATGAATATTGAGATAGCGAACCAGCAAAGTAGCAATGTTATTTCCTTAATATTAATCAGGCAGTGTGATATCTTATATGTTTGGTCATCTGGTGTGTTTGGTCTTACTCTCCTGTAGAGGCTATGAGACACGGAAGTGGAATTCACAATGCAATAGAAATGAACACAGTAACTTTGATTACAATTGATATATCTTTCAGCCAAGCTTTGGCCTTAAAATTGCAGAGGAATAGCTAAGTGACAAGGGTGTGCATATAAACAAGTAATAATAATATAGGAATTATTTAGAAAGTGTGGATTTTGTTTCAATATGAGAGCCAAACTAAGCTCTCTGAAGTTGCTAGAAATTGCTCATGTATTATCAGAGCATGTTCAGTGTTTATCCAATTCATTTAGTTGTCAGGAAACAAAAAGTATTTTATTAGAGAAAGCTGGGTGTCACAGTCAATAGGGAAAACTTAACCTTGACTAGCTGTGGTGGGTCTTGAACTTTGAAATCATAAAAACAACCATCACTCTGAACATTTCATCATTTTAAAGAGCCTGCTTAAATGGCCTGCTCAGCAGGTGATACTGGTAATTGCTCTGCTTTAACTTCTAGTGTGCTGGTTTACTTCCACTTTGACTATAAAGAAGATAAGAAAGTGCATGACTACACACACATTTATTAAAATTATGAGAAATACTTCAAGGATAATGTTTAGTCCAGGACTTCACTTACGACAGGAAATACCCAATTTCAATATTTTGGTTATTCATCCACTAGTCAGAATGACAAATAAGTGGGTGAAACCAGGCTGCAATATGAACTTAAGCCATAATGTGTGGAGAACAGACAAACTGTTTTATTCTTAGTCAACAAGAAAATCTATGCTGACATAAAATAGTTTAAGCTATGCTATGGGAACTAAAAGCAATGAAAACAAAAAATTGAAAACTATTTTTAAATGGAAGGCATTAAATAGCCAATTGCTAGAGAGAGAAGGGACTATTCCTTGAGATTTGCCAATGTTTTGAAATTTTACCGAGTCAATTTCTTGACAACTTACAAGAACAGAATCAACAGGAAAATGGTATTGTAGAAAGCAGGGTACAGCACTGCTGCCTGACAGTCCCCTACCCTCTCCATTGCCATATAAAGAGTAGAGGTGGCCAAGGAGAATGGACACTAAAGGTTGCTTATAGGAAAGAGACCTGTCACCAGTGGAAGCACATTGACTATCGGGGCACCATCACCTAAGAAGGGGCAGGAGACAGGAATCATGCTTCACATGTGGCCATCTGTTCATCTGAGCCCATGCCCCATGCCTTCACATCAATGAGCAAAATCATCAGAATTTGCAGGCATGTGTTCTGTATGAAATGGAGCTCTACAGCTCATTCCAGCTGTTGAAAAGAATATCCTCATTGTAAACCAATGTAGGCATTCCCAAAATTTCTCATGCCTGGATATGTTAGAATATTTTTAGCTGCTTGCCATGTGCCCACAAAACATGTACCTTGTTCCTTTAATATGACAATGCAAACACATTATTACTAAAATCATCTTTTTGCTTTAAATTTGTTGCGAACAAAATAGCAGGTTGGATCCTGAGATGCTAACTTGAGGAAGTTTCTTCCCCCCCTGCTTCCTCAGCAGCCTCCTGCATCACATGCCACATTGCTCAGGAGCCTGCCCCCCGCCCCACAACCAACTGGAGAAACTCTTCGGGGTTGCAGATGGCTGCAAGGGGGGGAGGGGGGAGCTTCTCTTCCTTGAACTTAAGTTATCTTAGGATCCAAGCCAATGTCTTTTATTAAGTTACTCTATAAATTCAATAATTTAGGGATTAATTGTTACTGCTAACCAACATAATACCCTTCCACTAAACAAAACAAAACAAAACAAAATTATGCAAGGAAGCGTAATTCCTTTCTGATGCTGGAGCTGAATCTTCCCCAAGGACTAGCAAAAGGCTGACACTTTCAGTTAAAACTATGCTCTACAATGCTTTCTCTAAGTGTTTTATATTAGTTCATAATGATTCACACTGCACCACAGAATTGCAAGTGCAACTCTGCAAGGTAGAATTGGAAGTCTGAAGCAGGCAAACAATGGGCTGGCTTGACCGATGGTCTGACTTGGAAAAAGACTAATCATATTCAGCTAGGACAGTTGCAAAGCAAATACACTTACAAATGCACAGAAACACCTAGCTGTTACAATGCATGGCAGGTAAGGACCATAGGTTTAAAATGAAAATATTTCATGTAGGTAAATAGATTCTCATTCCCTATATTGCCACTACAGGATGAAAAACACCATTGGTGGCTGCCTAACAACACAGAATTCCCTTAACACTAGAGTATTGGCAAAATCAAAGCCTGAACATTTTCCAGAAGAACTATAAAGCATTTTTATTTGATTCTGTGCTAAGCAAGCATGAAGTAATTTTAATTTTATATTGGTGTTTCAGTATGAATTTTATTAATGTCCTTTTCAAAATCTGGATAGTAGAGTTGTTATTTGTAGGTGTGGAATAGGGCAGGCAAACAACCCACAGAAAAAAATATTGTATGCATTACAGTGGTACCTCTGGTTATGAACTTAATTCGTTCCGGAGGTCCGTTCTTAACCTGAAACCGTTCTTAACTTGAGGTATCACTTTAGCTAATGGGGCTTTCCACTGCCGCAGCCACACTATTTCTGTTCTCATCCTGAGGTAAAGTTCTTAACCCGAGGTGCTACTTCTGGGTTAGCGGAGTCTGTAACCTGAAGCTTCTGTAACCTGAAGTGTTTGTAACCCGAGGTGTGTGAAACCCGAGGTACCACTGTATTCTGTGATATGCCATTAACTTGCTGTTGGAACATAATTAATTACCTTTAATAATTCAATATTATTACAATGATTCTACAAACATGGGGCACAATCCATTGATTTCAGTGGGAAGCAGAGCTTCATGTTGGGTTGTGCCTCATGCATTTACAGTCATCCCAGCTGCTTACAATCAAAGCAACTGGTGATAGAGATGGCAGGTTGACCAGAAAATGAATTTATTTTAGAGAACGTGTACAACCATTAAGCTTGCATTAATATATCCATAATTTAAACCTTAATGGTGGAGGCTCCCTTTGTTTCTTATGAAGAACTCAGATCTATAGTGAATAGATAACAAAGCCCCTCCAGTTCTTAGAACCCACATGCTCCCCTTATCTGTAATTGACCAGCTTGACAGTTGCTATTATAACCATAACATCCCCCTATTGTCAAGGTAAATTTCTAAATTCTATATTAACAAAGAACCCTCGTAAAATTGCTCACTCCCTAGACAACAGAAAAAATACCAATGTTTTTAAACATTCTTGCACACTCCACAACATTTCAAGAACATAGCTTCTTGTTTGTGACCACTAGTTTATGGAATCTAGTCACACATTTATACATATTTTTTGTTGGTACATGAACTTTCTAAACATATGACTCTGGAAAAGGTTGGAAATTAATAAACTTCCATTTGTCAGTGTGTTAAGAAGAAAAGAATCCATGACATAAGTAGGCAACTGATAGTATCCTAGTTTTGTTTGTGCTGGAACTAGTGGTCTTTGCTTAAACTTGGTAATTACACCAGTATGACATTTCACATTTGCACAAGAAGTCTTTTTTTGTTTACCGTATTTTTCGCTCTATAAGACACACTTTCCCCCTCCTAAATAGTAAGGGGAAATGTGTGTGCATCTTATGGGGTGAATGCAGGCCCCATGGCTTCAGTGAAAGCAACACGAAGCGCTCCGGAGGCTTTGAATTGCTTTCGCTGAAGCCAGGAGAGCAAAAGGGGTCGGTGCGCACCGATCCCTCTTGCTCTTCTGGCTTCGCTTCACTGGAGAGGCGCTGCACAGCTTTCCCTCTCTGCGCAGCACCCCTTCAGTGAAGCAGGAGGAGAAATGCGCAGAGAGGGAGAGAATTTTTTTTTCTTGTTCTCCTCCTCTAAAACTAGGTGCGTCTTATGGTCGGGTGCGTCTTATAGAGCGAAAAATATGGTGATTCCTAATCAATAGCATGTGGCAGGGATACACAGTACACTCTATGATTCATGCCATTCAGCAAAGCTCCCAGAACATTTACTGTACATCTTCTCAAAAGATTACACAGAGCTAATAATTTCTCTCTAGCATCAACGTCAACTGTCGTGTAAGACTGCTGCTTACCCTTTTCTGTTCCTTGATATATTCCATCAGCTCTTCTCTTGTCTGCTTCACAGCTTTTTCTATAGCTTTTTCACTTTTTTCTTGCTCTTCTAAAATGGCTGCTTTTACAATTGACTATGAAAAAAATAAGAGTTACAGTGTGTAAAGAGTTTGCTTCAAATATTCACCCTCATATACATATAGTGAGATAAAGGAGATTTTCCTCCTCTCACACACCTGCCTCAGCACATAAATGCTTTGGACATCAGCTTCTGAAAAATAAACAAATATCTTTGCAACACATGGTTATTACTTTATTACTAGCCTTAAGCATTCCTTGTTGCTTTACAATAACATTAGAAAGTTGCACTTTCTTTACTGGCATCTTCTTCTTTGGCGAGTAAGATTGTCTTCCATAAACACGGTTTTAACAGTGTGTCCGTAAGTGATTGTGGAGGCTAATTCTGGATCCACACGTCCTTCCACAGTGGGGACATTGGTTTCTGGATGCGAGTTGATCACGGTGTGGATTTGCCAGGCCCGCCTTCCTCTTAGCATGTTTCTCCCTTGTGTCCTGAGTTCGAGTGTCTTCAAAGCCCATGACACCTTTTGGTAAAGGCTGTTCTCCAACTGGAGTGCTCGCAGGCCAGTGTTTCCCAGTTGTCAGTGTTTTATACTACATTTTTTTAGATTTGCCTTGAGACAGTCTTTAAACCACTTTTGTTGACCGCCAGCATTACGCTTTGGAAGTAGTTGCTTTGGAAGACGATCATCAGGCATCTGCACAACATGACCAGTCCAACGAAGCTGATGTTGATGAATCATTGCTTCAACACTGGTGATCTTTGCTTCTTCCAGTACACTGATATTAGTTTGCCTGTCTTCCCAAGTGATGTGTAAAATTTTTCGGAGACACCGTTGATGGAATCTTTCGAGGAGTTGGAGGTGGCGCTTATAAGTGGGCCATGTTTCACAAGCATATAGTAAGGTTGGCAGTACAACAGCTTTGTAAACAAGTATTTTGGTTTCCCTGCGAATGTCCCAGTCCTCAAACACTCCGCACTTCAGCCAATTTTCAGAAGGGCAGCCAATTTTCAGAAGGACAGTCCACAGGGCATTACGATTTACAGTGTCAAAAGCCTTAGTCAGGTCAATAAACACCATATACAGGGGTTGATTTTGCTCTCTGCATTTTTCTTAAAGCTGTTGAGCGGTGAAAATCATGTCCACTGTCCCCCTAGAAGGCCGAAAACCATTTTGGGATTCAGGAAGGGTCACCTCGGATATTGTTATGAGGTGGTTTGCTAAGATCCTTGCAAGAATTTTGCCGGCCGCAGCTAATAGAGAGATGCCTTGATAGTTTCCACAATCAGTTCTGTCACCTTTCTTAAAGAGATTGATAATTTTGGCATCCCTAAAGTCTGCTGGGATTTCTTCACTTTCCCAGATTTTTTTAATGAGCTTGTGAAGTTGTTGTGTAAATTCAATTCCACCCACTTTGAAGATTTCGGCAGATATCCCATCAGGTCCATTGGCTTTGTTGTTTTTCATTTGGTTAATAGCTGTACACAACTCTCCCAGATTTAGAGATATTGCGAGCTCATCTCTAACTTGTTTTTGCGGAATTTCTGAGAGGACCTCAGCAGCTATGGGGGAGTTGCGGTTAAGGAGATGTTGATAATGTTCTTTCCAGCGCAGTGCAATAGCTTCTTTATCTTTTAGAAGTGTGATACCATCTGCTGAGCGTAGGGGGCATATGCCATGATTTATTGGCCCATAGATGGTCTTTGTGGTTTTCTAAAAACCCAACCCAAACCCCAAAAGTCCCATAAAGGTAAAGGGGGCCCTGACCATTAGGTCCAGTCGTGACTGACTCTGGGGTTGCAGCACTCATCTCGCTTTATTGGCGGAGGGTGCTAGTGTATAGCTTCCGGGTCACGTGGCCAGCATGACTAAGCCGCTTCTGGCGAACCAGAGCAGCACACAGAAACGCCATTTACCTTCCCGCCGGAGCGGTACCTATTTATCTAGCACTTTGACATGCTTTCGAACTGCTAGGTGGGCAGGAGCTGGGACCGAGCCACGGGAGCTCACCCCATCACGGGGATTCGAACCGCCAACCTTCTGATCAGCAAGTCCTAAGCTCCATGGCGATCGGCAAATGGTAACGGGGGCAAGATCATGAAATCTGGAAGCCCCTAGTCATCATGAACCAGCACATGGACGGTGGATACAGATTCAGTTGTTCCGACTCAAGGAATGAGGGAGTTGAGCAGCTTGGCAGCTGTATCCATGACTGATCAGCCCTTTTTAGGATCTACTCTGCTCACCCTGAAAAGGGGGAGGGGCTAGAAAAGGTGCCCTAAACATAGTTTGCCTCCCTTTTTCCATAACTGGATTACCGCACAGGGTCACCACCTAGCGGTTGTAAAAGACAATTGAACTTTGTCAGATAACACTGACACTTACGGACTTTGTCAGATAACACAGACAGTGAGCATCCTGAATGCAGAACTGCCATCATTGCAAGAGAGCTACGATGTTTTAACATCAATATTGCAGCGCTTCAAGAAACTCGAAGAGCAGGCAAGGGACAACTAAAGGAAGAAAAAGGAGGCTACACATTCTTCTGGAAAGGTCTATCTGAACAAGAACATCAAATACATGGGATAGGCTTCGCCATCAAAAACGACCCTGTGAAGCTCCTGTCAGAAGTTCCTACCGGCATTAATGAGAGACTCTCAACAGGCTACTATTCTAAGTACTTATGCACCAACACTGGATGCCGATGAAGACATTAAAGAAAAATTTTACTCTCAGCTGGATACCATCCTATCAGAGACGCCTAAGGAAGAAAAAATTATCCTCCTGGGTGATTTTAATGCAAGAGTTGGGTGAAATTTTGATCTGTGGCTTGGGACTATTGGGTAAGAAGGAGTTGGCAAGAGCAACCAGAACAGAATCTTACTTTTGACGATATGTGCAGCATACAACCTTGTTATTACCAACACACTCTTTCGACAGAAAAATAAATTTATAACTTCATGGAGGAATCCTCGGTCAAACCACTGGCACCTCTTAGACTATGTTATTGTCCGTGCTAAAGATCGCCGTGATGTGCTCCTTACCAGAGCTATGACAAGCGCCAACGACTGCTGGACATATCACTGATTAATACGCTCCACGATGGCTATCAAGATTATACTAAGGCGCAAAATGAACACTCAAGCCCTTCAAGATCCCATTAAGCGGGATTGCTTCCAAATGATTCTTAAGGACCTTCTGCTTTCAGAATTCCCTGATAACATCAAGGAACACTGGACCAAGCTAAAAACATCCATTATTGCAACCTGTGAACAAACTATTAGATACCAAACCAAGAAACACCAGGACTGGTTTGATGAGAATGACAGTGAGATTGAACGCATGATTGACAAGAAAAGGAAGGCCTTTGAGATCTGGCAAAGAGATAGAAACTATGCCACTAAGAAAAAAACCTATGCCAACGCTAAGGCTGAGGTTCAAAGATGAACCAGAGAACTGAAAAACACCTGGTGGATAAAAAAAGCTCAAGAGATCCAGCACTTAGCCGACACTCATGATGCACAGTTTCTTTACTGGCATAATCCACAATTAACCACAACAGTAAGTAATTTAAGGATTATCCAAATATACAACCAAGAGTTACAAATATCATTTTTTTCACATGAACCAGCTCCCTGTTTAGTGTATTTGATTGTTTAGGTCAGGGGTCCTCAAACTTTTTCAGCAGGGGGCTGGTTCACTGTCCCTCAGACCTTGTGGGGGGCTGGACTATATTTGGGGGGGGGGAATGAACCACCACGGGGGGGGGGGAGAGAAAGAGCTGGAGTTGGGAGCCCCCATGGCCACAGTCCCCGCTGGGGGAGGAGGGCCCAAGTGCTACCGCCGCTGCCTCGCCGGCCACGACAAGGGCACAGGCAAGGGGGCGCGCAAAATCGACTAAAAATATGTCCATAAATAAAAATATTATTGCAGGAGCTGCCGGCCAAACTTTGAGGCGGGCACAGCAGCAGCAACAACAGAGCCACTCGGAATGGAAAGGGAGCTGGAGGAGACTGCGGGAGGAGCACGCACGCGGCCCGGACAGAGAGACAGAGAGAGGAGGTGGCCGTTGCCGAGCAGAAGCCAACCCTTCCCGCCCTCTCGGCATCCCGACAAGGAGGGCAAGTTGAGGTTGGGCGCAGCGTGTAATGTGAGGGAAGCCGAGAGGGCACACGTCTCTCGGAGGAGGGGGGAGTGTGTGTGTGCATGTGTACATGGTGGAGGAAGCCAGCCCAGCGCCAGGCTTCAGAGGTTCCTTTCGTCGAATGAGGAGGTTGCTGCCGCCGCAGCTACTGACACTGCAACCCACGAAGGCAGTGGCTGGCAGCTGTCCTGGGCTTGGCTCAGCGCAGCCTCTGCCCTCGTTGACTGCCTGCCAGCCACTCTCTACGCTGCCTGCCACCAGTACTTACCTACCACTGGTGGAGCAATATTAGCACAATTGGTAAGAAGTGAGCAGTGGGAGCATTGCAGGTGATTATAATGTAAAGTTATCATTGTGGAACAAATCAGTATGGCATTGTTTGTATGCTTCATTTAGGTCTATCTGTGTATTGTTTTACAACTGAATTACATTTTTAAAAACTATCAACTCACATCAAAATGTCATTTTCATTGCTGAAACCTTTTATTAAGAAATAATAAATTAAATATTGGATTTTCTGTGAAAGAATTCATTACAAGGTGAAGTGCAGGAGGAATTCAATGGGGGTTGGAGGAGAGGCGGAAAGAAAAGCTAATTTGTCTGTGGCTAGGGGGCTAATTTGTCCGTGGACGGTTCTGCCAGGGGTGATAAAAGATCACCTAGCTACAGCTCTGCCTGCAATGCAGGAATCTCAACTAAAGCATCCCTGACAGATGGCCATCCAACCTCTGATTAAAAACCTTCAAGGAAGGAGAGTCCACCACCTCCAGAGTGAGTCCGTTCCACTGCGGAAGAGCTCTTACTATCAGAAAGTTCTTCCTGATGTTTAGTCGGAATCTCCTTTCTTATAAATAGTTCCTTTATTTACAAATATACAGAAGAGCATAAATACAGGAAGAGACATTACCAAAAGAATGAATGTGGAAGGCACAACAGCCAGTTTGTAGCAAAGTTGCACCATCACGGATTATTATTTTGTTGGGAACAAACCTGGATGAAGGAATCATTAAATGTAGTGTAGACGTAGCTCTACAATAACAGAGGAAGAGTATCTGCAGGATGAGGTCAGTGGCCCATCTAGTCCAGCCTCCTGTTCTCACAGCGGCCCCTGCAAGCAGGACCAGAGCACAAGAATGAACACTCTCCCCTCCTGCAGTTTCTTTCTACTGAGTATTGAACAATTAAATTATTTGTTTTACTTTATTAATTCATTTTGGTCTTATCATTTTTTAATATGGATTTTTATACCTTGGAGATTATTATTTTTCAAACTGAATGTCAGGACTGGTCGTTGTCCTCTTCAGATCACCACAGAAACGCTTCTTGTTCTTTTATAAAACTTTTTATTGCGTATTAACAAAACCTTCTTATAAACAGTTCTTAACTATTCTTCCTCAGAGTCCCTTCTTTCAGATACCTTCTGAGCTCTGCTTCTCCGTGACCAGCCACTCTCCAAATGGCGAAGGCGCCTTTCCCTTCGCTTTCCCGCTCTTTTTCCTACCCTCCTGGCTAGAGCTGGCTTGTCTCTCACCTCCTCCGAATCTGAGCTAGAACTGAACCCTGGCCTTTCCTTTGAACAGCCGGTCCCTCCCTCTTGTTCCTCTTGCTCCCTTCTATTAGATTCACTGCTCTCCTCCCCCCCCCTTGGGGAATGCTTTCTCCCTCTGATAAACTGAAAACCTCTAACTCTTCCCTGACACTGAAGATGTTAACTATTTTAATAAATATATGACAACACTTCAGTCCCAGGTATATTTACTAAAGAGTAAACTCCACTGAATTTAACATAGCTGCACCTTCACTTGCTTTCCATTGCTTTCAAGGAAGTCTCTTATATCCAACATCCCTGAATGATATGCTTGCTTCTGCTATGTTAAAATGTTTACTAGATTTTATATGAAATAGATGAGAGAAACATTTTCACATAAATAAAACTGTGGATTTTGCACCTTGTGTACAATTTTATCCTTTTCAGTTGGTGGCACGCAAACGGTTGAGAGTTCCACCCCCACCCCCCAAAAAACCTACCTGACTTAAGAATCCTCCTGTGATTTATTCTGACAGCTACCATATATGAATTGGCCTTTAAAAGGACCATGTCAAATATAAGCAAGATGCTAAAGATAGAACAAAAATAGTGGAACATTGCCAGCACGCCATCCTGCTTGCACACCATGCAACATCCGCAGCATTGGTATTACAAAGAACACAAAGCTGCAGAGGAAAAGCCAAGTGTCTTACTGTAATCAGAACTTTACTTATTTTAGGAAGTCATGTTTTTTCACCCATATTACATTCCAAAAGAACTAAGAAGTTTTATGCAAAGCCTTTCTTTGAATATAGTAAGTCTCCTTTATAATTTGCATTTATCCACCTGGATAGCATATGTCTGAAATGGAAATGCCAACATACCCTGCTCAAAGGAAACAAATAATATTTTGGACTCGCTTATGCTGTACATCTGCTACAGATACCACTGTAAAAAAGTCTAGCATTCCCCTGGTGATATAATATCATTTATCACTGTCATATTTATGTCTCCACAAGGAACAATATTTCCAATTTATTAAGTTACCTGGAAAACTTGGATTTATGTAACATTCAAGATGTTTGTAGAGAAAACAAGTTGTTTTTATAGGGAAAAGATAGAAAACTGAAACATTTTCAGAACTTTAATGGAGGGGCGTGATACACATTGGCCTTGTACAGATAATGATAAACAACGGTTTACTGTTACAAGAATGAGGTGCAGTGAGCTTTGGTTTCCCGTGCTTGCCCTATCCCCACTCTGAAATGGCTAAAGCTCTTGCTTCTGTTTTTTAATTCAGAATTTTTAATTGATCTGAACTATGTTCAGTTTTCAAACCATTGTTTATGAATTGGCATGTTTCATCTAACCTTCGTTAAGATTAACCATAGTTTAGGGTTCAGGTGCTATGCTAAACTGTGGTTAAGCTTCTCTGTATCTCCTCATGGCTGTGCCAGAGAAGGGGAGGGGAGAGGAGCTGTCAGGGACTGACTGGATGAAGAAGAGTGGTGGGAGCCACCAGCCCAAGGAGGGCTCCTAAGATGACACCTTAGAGACCGGAGCCTGGTGGTGGGACACTGAGGAGCACTCAGCAGAAGGGACAATCTGGGAGCTGATAGAAGCAGGAGAGCTAAGTGATCAAGGGGATCAGGAGAAGGAGGGCCTTGCAAAGACAGGATTAGAAGCTGAGAGTCACAGCATGCGCAGAGACAGTCCCAGTTCTGCTGACTGCCCTCCCCCCCCCCCGGCTCTGCTTGAGGAGGAGCCCATGCCCTTGATGCAGCCTTTGTCTGCTTGGTAGGATGAGTGGTTAGAGGAGAAGGGTGGGCCTAGAGCTTAGTTTCAGCAACACCTTCATTAAGATGCTGGACATTGCTGTATCGTTGTTTCTCTGCTAATAAAAAGCTAATTGCATTCCATATCTTCTGTGTGTGTGCCCTGCCCTGAGGATGTCCTGGCTCATTGATAGCTCCTTGACAGCAGCATTGTTTATCACTATTATGCAGTGATGACCCGGATTTTTTCTAGGCACAGAAAAAAGCTATTCTTTTTTCTGATTTCTATGCGTATGGTATACTGAAGATACAGGGTGCTCATAAATACTGGAAGTAACAAGGTAACTAAAATATATTTACTTTCTTTTAATTTACCAACTTCAATATTTTGCTTTCCCCCACCCACACTCTATTTTAACAGAAGTGGATGAAATATCCAGGCATAGTACCCCTTCCAGAGTGGATAAGGTCAGAAACCTAGAGGTAAATTTTTCCATTTTTATTTTTTTTTTTAATGCTGGCCATCTTTAAAGTTTTTCTTCTTCTTTAAAAAACCCTCTTTTGATGAAATTTTGAGGGGAGGAATCCTGTAAGATTTCCGGAGGATGGTTGTAGTGGTTTGCCCACAAGACCAGTCTTTTTAGTTTGGGTTGGGGGGAAATTGTGTAATCTTCCCAGTATTTTATACGGAAGAGGTCTGAAAACAGAAAACAGGAGAGAGGTGCCCCCAGTAAGAAACCTGCCAAATTTCAGACAAATAGGTCAAAGGATTTTTGTACAAGGTGTCTTAAAGTTGTTCTGGGGGTAGAACAACCAAAAGAAATTCGCTTGCTTCCCTGTGGTTTTTGTTTGTGGGCACACATTCAGCCAGACAGAGGAGATTTATGCTGAACAGGATTTTGTAAGAATATATTGCTCCAGTAAGATGACCCTTGTTGTTGTTGTTTAGTCATGTCCGACTCTTCGTGACCCCATGGACCAGAGCACGCCAGGCACTTCTGTCTTCCACTGCCTCCCGCAGTTTGGTCAAACTCATGCTGGTAGCTTCGTGAAGACTATCCAACCATCTCGTCCTCTGTCGTCCCCTTCTCCTTGTGCCCTCCATCTTTCCCAACATCAGGGTCTTTTCCAGGAAGTCTTCTCTTCTCATGAGGTGGCCAAAGTATTGGAGCTTCAGCTTCAGGATCTGTCCTTCCAGTGAGCACTCAGGGCTGATTTCCTTAAGAATGGAGAGGTTTGAACTTCTTGCCATCCATGGGACTCTCAAGAGTCTCCTCCAGCACCATAATTCAAAAGCATCAATTCTTCGGCGATCAGCCTTCTTTACGGTCCAGCTCTCACTTCCATACATCACTACTGGGAAAACCATAGCTTTTACTATACGGACCTTTGTTGGCAAGGTGATGTCTCTACTTTTTAAGATGCTGTCTAGGTTTGTCATTGCTTTTCTCCCAAGAAGCAGGAGTCTTTTAGTTTTGTGGCTGCTGTCACCATCTGCAGTGATCATGGAGCCCAAGAAAGTAAAATTTCTCACTGCCTCCATTTCTTCCCCTTCTATTTGCCAGGAGGTGATGGGCCCAGTGGCCATGATCTTCGTTTTTTTGATGTTGAGCTTCAGACCATATTTTGCGCTCTCCTCTTTCACTCTCATTAAAAGGTTCTTTAATTCCTCCTCACTTTCTGCCATCAAGGTTGTGTCATCTGCATATCTGAGGTTGTTGATATTTCTTCCGGCAATCTTAATTCCGGGATTCATCCAGCCCAGCCTTTCACATGATGAATTCTGCATATAAGTTAAATAAGCAGGGAGACAATATACAGCCTTGTCGTACTCCTTTCCCCGTTTTGAACCAATCAGTTGCTCCATATCCAGTTCTAACTGTAGCTTCTTGTCCCACATAGAGATTTCTCAGGAGACAGATGAGGTGATCAGGCACTCCCATTTCTTTAAGAACTTGCCATAGTTTGTTGTGGTTGACACAGTCAAAGGCTTTTGCATAGTCAATTAGGCAGAAGTAGATGTCTTTCTGGAACTCTCTAGCTTTCTCCATAATCCAGCGCATGTTTGCAATTTGGTCTCTGGTTCCTCTGCCCCTTCGAAATCCAGCTTGCACTTCTGGGAGTTCTCGGTCCACATACTGCTTAAGCCTGCCTTGTAGAATTTTAAGCATAACCTTGCTAGCGTGTGAAATGAGTGCAATTGTGCGGTAGTTGGAGCATTCTTTGGCACTGCCCTTCTTTGGGATTGGGATATAGACTGATCTTCTCCAATCCTCTGGCCACTGCTGAGTTTTCCAAACTTGCTGGCATATTGAGTGTAGCACCTTAACAGCATCATCTTTTAAAATTTTAAATAGTTCAGCTGGAATACCATCACTTCCACTGGCCATGTTATTTGTAGTGCTTTCTAAGGCCCATTTGACTTCACTCTCCAGGATGTCTGGCTCAAGGTCAGCAACCACACTACCTGGGGTGTACGAGCCATCCCTATCTTTCTGGTATAATTCCTCTGTGTATTCTTGCCACCTCTTCTTGATGTCTTCTGCTTCTGTTTAGGTCCTTACCACTTTTGTCCTTTATTATGGTAATTTTTGTACAAAATGTTCCTTTCATATCTCCAATTTTCTCGAACAGATCTCTGGTTCTTCCCATTCTGTTGTTTTCCTCTATTTCTTTGCACTGCTCGTTTAAGAAGGCCTTCTTGTCTCTCCTTGCTATTTTTTTGAAATCTGCATTCAATTTCCTGTATCTTTAACTATCTCCCTCGCATTTTGCTTGCCTTCTCTCCCCCGCTATTTGTAAGGCCTCGTTGGACAGCCACTTTGCTTTCTTGCATTTCCTTTTCATTGGGATGGTTTTCGTTGCTGCCTCCTGTATAATGTTGCGAGCCTCCATCCATTTGTATTAGATAGAGCAGGAATGTCCAACAGGTCGATCGTGATCTACCGGTCGATTGTGGGGTGTCCGTGGTCTATCCTGGGACCCCGATCCCCTCCCCCAAAAAAGCACAATAACGTTGGCTTATCCTCCCCCCCAAAATGATCAACAACTGCCAGTTTTTTAATAGTGGGAGTAGATTGCAGTGTCTTGGAAGCTGGACACCCGAGATAGAGTAACCATCTATCATTTGAAGATGCCTTCAATTTCTCCCCACAAGGTGGGTAGGGATATGGAGTCAAAGTCTATAAAGGTGGCATTATACAGAGGTTGTATTACTAGAGGAATATTTCTTAATCAAATGACGTAATACGAAACATTAATCAATGGTAGATCGCCTTTCCCTAAACCCAGCTTTTTCGTCTGCTAGAATGTTCTCTTGTTCCAGTCAATCCAAGAGTTTCCTGTGTTTTTTTGCATAGAGCTTGCTAACGGTGTTAAATAGACAAATTGCTCTGTAGTTTGCCGGATTGTTTTTTTAACCCTTTTTCGAAAATGGAAACTATGACTGCCAAACCCCAATCTGAGGAAGCCTGTCCATACCAACAGATGCAAGTAAAGAGAGAGGCCAGTACAGGAGCCTAGAAGTCCAAATTGCTTTTAATAGCTTTTTATATTTTAGTGGTGGTTCTTAAATGACAGGGAGGCTGATGTGTGTCCCTGCATCCTTGGGTGGTAGGCAGTGTTTTGCTTTTTGCATTTATTCCTACAAATAATGAAAATGGCCACACTGATCTTGTGGCCTAACCAGTATCTTGTGCCTGCTCTGCTGCTGGTCTCAGGCTTTCGCATAACCCAGGGGCTCTGTGATCCTTATGAGCCGCAGAAAATGCAGATGGCAGCAATTCCTCTTGCCCCCATAGTCTATCTTAAGTTCTCATTTCTGATCCCAGCTCTCATCTGGGAAGTAACCAAACTACTCCCTGCAAAGGTACTAAGTCCACAGGACTGCAACACTCTCTTGCCCTGACATTCCTGGGACAACCAGTAATCTGTATAGTCAACCACATAACAACACCATTCTCGAAGTAAAAACAAGTCAAATAGCACCGCGCCTTTGTCCTTGTTTCAGCCCTCTGATGTCATCCCTTCAGTTAACCTGCTGCACTTCTGCAGCTGGTTTTAGAAAGTCCTTGGGCTAGCCAGGACTGCCCACACAGCTCTTGGAGCTGCCTCCTCCAAGCTACAGGTGTGAAGAGTCAATGATTCAGCAGCAGGCAAGGAGCGGCTCCCCCTAATTCTGCAACAAGTCTAGCCAGCAAGGACTCACACAAAAATACAGGGGAAGGATAAGTAAGAAAAGTTATAAAAAGCCTCTCTCAGGAGCTAAGGCATGATCTAACTTAAGATTGCTAACAACAGTGGTGCAGCTGTATAGAAGTAATAATAATAGTGATAAAAAATAAAAATGTGACTAAAATGTATTGGTCAGTGCTTTACTGCTTACAACAGGGTGCTCTTGCTTTCACAGTAATAGCACTGGAGTCCAGTAACAGGTAAGTGCATGTGAAATTAACTAACCTGACTGCTTTGTCTCTGTTCTTCAACTGCATCTGCAATTGCTTGAGCAATCCTTTCCTGATCTTTGTTTCTCTCTGCTTGCCATAGTTCCTTTTCTTCTACATGGAGTTTTTTCATGTTTTCTCTTTCTGCTTTTACTGCTGTTACAATGGCAGCTTCCAGCTCTTCTTTTTCAATCTTCAAATCATATAAAGGGAAATTAAAAATAGTTTTATCTATTTATTCAGCACACACACAGATACACAATGTTGCATAGGATTCCTAAGTCTAGGCACCAACAATAAATATTCTCCCAACCTTTCTTCTAGCCAGAAGGAAAGGCGAGAATCTCCCTCACTGGTGGCAAAGCTTGAAGACTTTTAGAGGTAGAACTGACCATCTGACTCCAACAAAGCTTGTCCGCCCACCAGCTAACCACAGTCAGCGTCACTCTCCCTCAGCCAGACTGTTGTTCCTCCTCTACAGAGGCTGGGAGCACTGGCCCTAGCACGGGGACTGAGAGAGAATACAATCCCGATAGACATACTGGCTCAATCAGCCCTTCTGAAGAGAGAGAGAAAAATGCATGCCCAGAGCACAAGGAATGCCAGAATTTACAGACTAAGGCTGTGACACTCATGCCTAGCTCTCACCTTTCAATGGCAGGGTGTCCCAAATTTTTGGATGCACACCTTGGGCTGTGCATGGACCCCTCAATCCAATTTGGGGCTTTATTTAGCAATTTAGATCAGCCCCAGGATGATCTGAACCCAACTGGATCCCAGGATTCGGACTGTGATCTGGAAATGCAATTATTAGGAAACTGCATTGACTTGCATTGAGAAACCAAAACAACTAACTTTCTTGTTTTTAGAAGATTAACTCGCAAAATTTGGACACAACTCTCAATTTAATCTTAAGTCACTGATTCGGTTTTTGGGCTGGGCCAGGAGGAAAAAATAACTAGCAATTCCAAATTTCAGACATTGTTCACCTTCTACTCAATGGTTCTCACTTCTGAGTAGATATGCACAGGACTGTGCAGTTTAATTTTTTTTAATTACTTTATACTCATGCCAACAATATTCCATATAGAATAACCATAAAACAGTTCAAAAGGTGATTTCATCAATTCTTTCTGCAAGCCGAGGTACCTTTGCAGAGGCTGCCAAAGCTTCCTTATTGCTTTCCCTCTCGCTCTCCATGCATTTTTCCAGCATGTTCTGCAAATACAATACAAAGTAAAGCATATTAAAGTGTAAAAATACAAGTGCTTAGTTTGTTATTAAATTCATTATTTTATAATAACTGGGCATTTCCTTTGTAAACTTTATATTGACTTTTAAAACTTATTATACATAATACCAAGTGAATACCAAGTTATGAAGGAGCATAAACCTAGACTGGATTAAGACTGCATTACTGCAATGTACTCTGTGTGGCGTTTCTTTCGCATTTGACCTGGAAGCTGCAGTTAAGTGAAGAATGCTGCAGCAAGACTGCTGACAGGAATGAGAGCCTGTCAACATAGAATACCTGTGCTCAGAGATCTGCACTGTTTGCCGATTTGCTACCAGGCCAAGTTCAAGGTGCTACTATTAGTATATAAAGCCCTCAACAACTTGGGACCACCTTACCTATGAGACCGCTTCGATCGGCAGAATTGGCATTACTACAGGTGCCACATAATACTGGTTCCACATTTGTAAGCACCTGCAATATGGAACTCCCTGCCTATTAAGATTAAACGGGAGCTGAGAAGAGCAGGCGCCTTTGCTCTGCTGTTTCCTGTGCCTGCTAAAAACATTCTTGCTTAATAATAATAATAATAATAATAATAATAATTATTATTATTATTATTATTATTATTATTATTATTATTATTATTATTATTTTATTTATACCCTGCACTTCCCGGTCAGAAAACCGGGCTCAGGGCGGCTAACAACAAATTTAAAACACTTAATTGTAGAAGCAGCATAAAATACAGTATAAAAACACGAGTAACAATAAAATTCATTTTTTTTAATAAATTTTTATTGAGTTTTCACATTTTATATAGACAGCACAAACACACAAAGACAAAAACAAACATGTATAATTTCAAATCCTTACTTTCTTAACCACTTTCCCTGACTTCCCCTCATCTCCCCGTCATGCATCCCAGTTCCAATAGTTAGCTCAGCAAGTTCTTATCTCTCATCCTTATAATATTATTATCTTTCTTATCTCTCATCCTTATAATATTATTATCATTTTTTAACTTGGTTCTTCTTAATTAGCCAAATTTAACTTATACACAACTATTATAAACATTACATCCTTTTCTAAGGTCGACCCAGATTCCCTTCCACAAATTTCCCCTTTTCATATTAATTATTTATCATAATAACTAAACACAAAAAAGCATAAAAGTTCTTAAAGTTCTGCTCTCATCCCCCCCCCTTTCCCGGTTTCAGTCCCATCCCAAAAGAAAGGAATAATTGTCCACAATAATTGTCCAGTTCTTAGCCTGGATTTCTCACATCCGAGGCCTTCAAGTCTCTGTCAGTCCCTCTCTGCCGATTTTGTTGGTAGCCCTTTGTGTTGGTCAGCAGGTCTCGAAGGAGCTCTATCTCTGTAAAATCGAAGTTTCTTCCAACCAGTCCTCCATGTTCAAAAGTGGAGCCCCAATCATATTTCTTGCTTCTTTTCAACCCAAATATTCCAAATGTCCCAGAGGGTCCCTCTTTCGTCTTAAGCAGATTTGTAATCCATAAATCTTCCGATCTCCCCATAAGGAGATCACTCCATTCTTCATTCTTAGCTTCCATTCAAATTTTCATAACCCACTTCTTACTTTCCTTGTATTCCACAATTATAGGCTTCTGGTTGGTCATTTCCACTTCCGCTCCTTCTTCCCTCTCCTCAATTTCTGACGATATCTCTTCTGATTCGGCTGCAGAATTTTTTCCAGTCAAATCCTTAACACAGTCAACAGAATTGCTTACTTTAGAATTCAAGGTCGCAATCCTTCTAGCCATAGCTGTACTCTGGTCTTGTAATTTTCCCACGAGAAAAAACATTTTTTCAAGCTCGGCCTGTAATTTTCCATCTGCAGCCATTGTAATGCCTCAGAATTCCCCCTAGAGGGATTCTTGTTACTTAATAATCCTTTTCCAACAATCCGTTACCTTGTTATTTATTTCTTCTTTGTTTCCAACAACTTAAGTTTAAATGTAGCACACTTAATCCACAAAAATAGTAAATAGCAAGTCTTTCTACCTTTGACAACTCGTTTGACAGCTCCTCCACAGCTGTCAAACTCCTTATGTCTCCTCGACAGGCTCACTCGCAGGACGCTCCCGGGATCCGGGGGGGTTACACAGCAACTTCTAAAATTCAGCACTTATCCTCCAGCACAAAACTTCTTATGCCAATCGTGAAATTAATATCTTTTATCTCACAAGGAGAGGAATGGTCTCTCCACCTTAGTTATCCGATTCTTGCTTTAGGTCATCTGCAGGAAGGGGGGTGCGGACTTCCTTTTAGCACATCCCCCGGTCGTACCGAATTCAAAGGGAATTTTTTTTTTTAAATCCCAATTCCATTCTACTCACGGGTTGATTCTTTTCCAGTCCGAATTTTCAAGGAAAAAAGTCAGCGCTCTCCGGCCATGGCTCGCGGCTTCACTCCACTGAAGTAGCGGTTTACTCACAGCACCACGCCACTCTCCGTACCCTCTCCGAAGACTTTAAAAAGGCTCTTTGTGGGTCGGGGGGCGCTTAAGGTGCCCGCTGAGTCACCAAGTCCGCAGGCTTCAGTGCCTGCGGTTTCTAAGGGTCCCCGCGTCGCCGCCGCGGCAGGACCCGTCTCCAGCAGAGCCGATTCCCTCCGGAGCTCGGAGGGAATCCGCCATTAGCCGATCGCGCTAACCCGGAAGTCGAGTAACAATAAAATTCAAAGTTCAAAAATCAATTTGGGGAAAATCCATCTAATAAGCATTAGATAGTCACCAGGGCTAGCTGGCTGAATTAGTCCTACTTGGGCCAGCGAGGAGACATGGGGAGAATTAGCTGTGGGGTCCCAGAGCGGGTAATCTTCATAAAAAGGGGAGGGGGGAGGAAGGGGAATAAAAGATCAGGCTGAATTCAAATTAAAGGCCAGACAGAATAGCTCTGTCTTACAGGCCCGATGGAAGGAGGTTAAATCCTGACAAGCCTACCCAGATGCTTAGAAGGTTGAAATAATTTTATTCTGTTTTAGTATTTTACCTTTTGTATGTTTTAAAGTAGCGTTGTTATTTTTTGTGATTTTATTATCTTATCTTTTTGTAAGCTGCTTTGAGGTTGTTGTTGTTTTTTACAATCAAGAGGTGTATAATTTTTACTCAATAAACAACTAAATCAAATAACCCTACCCTCTAAGGTCCCATTTCCCCTGATGTGCAGTCATCAGCCCTAAGGAGAGGTGCAAGGCATGAACTTTGTTCTAGATCCTAGAGCTTTGATGTGGCCACAGAGCACAATTTTCAGTCCCAAAGAGGACTGAGGAGCACAGTAAATGTTGGCAAGAGGGAAATGCCTAAGGTGAAAAGCCTAGCCTATGGCTTTTGTTTTTTAATTTTATTTTATTTCAGGGTTAAAAAACAAACAAACCCAAAGGATCCCCCCAGTAAGATCAGCTAAATAAATATAACCTTTTAAACCCTCTGTCTTCTCCTCTCCCACTCAACAGAAAAAAAATAAAAGGGTAGGGTGGCATAGCCTAGCCTATGGGGAGGTTTTCCATTCCTGAAGGGGTGTTGTTAACACTCCAGGAGCGTTCTTATTGACTGGGTGCACTGCCCACATGATCCGAGCATTTTATTCCTTTGATCTGTGCTCTGTGGGGGCTGAGCTCTCTCTGAAGAGCAGTCTGTCTGAGAATGTGAGCAAGGTCGTTTCGTTTTTTGTTAAGAGGCAGAAAGCTGCAAACATGCAGCTAGATTCTGTAGGTTTTTCTTTTCTGTTTTGAATGCTTCTAAATAAAGAGTTTTAGATTAGAAGCACTGGTGTCGAGCTGAGTTATTGAGGACACCATGTCGACACAGACAAGCCATTTTACGCTGCGTGTGAACTATGCTATTACCCAGCAACTGGAGAGAGTGGCAGCGCGCGGAGTGGAAGCATGTGGGCACCATTGGAAGTTTGTCGGAGTGGCAATAAATCAAATTTATTGCAGGGCCGTTGCAGCAGACTCAGTGGGTCAATAGATATACGACCCAACAAACTTTAACAAAGAGTCTTAGTGAAGAAAGGAAGATCTGGAGGGCGGAGAGATAGGACTTGAAATAAGAGATAAAATAGTGGACAGAAAGTGTAAAATGCTAGCATTGCTTAAAAAACCCTTTTGAGAAAAATGCATTTCCTCAGCCCATTTTATGCAGAGGAGTCTTCCACCCCAAACAAAAGATTGCCTGCATCCCAAAACCACCAAATAAATGTTATTTGTTCTCAGCACTATGTACCTCAATTGACACTCTACTACCACCAAGCTTCTAAGCAGGGGTTGCCAATATTTTTGGACTTGCATGTTAATTGCAAATTGGAGAAATTATTGTGGGCAAAATGCGCTGAAACACCACAATCAAACACACATCAGAACCTATTCTATTGCCTGCCACAGGGTGCTTCTCTCAAGGCCAATTTCACCGGGGGTGGGGGGGGCACCAGGTAAGGTTTCTATGGGTACCTGCAGGAAATCGTTGACCCCTGGGTTTTAAAAGCTTTAAAGTTTGTATATACAATGTACCTTATATTTTTGTGATTGCTGCAGCAAAGATTCTTCTGTTTTTTCTTCTAACACTTTGTGCTCTTTGTCCAACATATCAAGCAACCTTTGATGCTATAAAAGAAGAGGATCATATGCTATGACTCTGCAACTGCATTAGTGGCAAATGAGAGCTGGTAAAAGGAACAGGTTGTTACAGATAATATATAACACATGTAGACACATATATAGGTTCTGTGTGTGTACTGAGCAGCAGTAAAGGGAAATTGCAGGTTATATGAAATTATACTGATACCTTGTCATCTGCTGTGTGTGCACAACTTCATTTTTATGTAGTACATAGAAACAAGATCAGTGACTCCACTAGCATACGCAGTAAAAATGGTGACAATTCACTTGTAATGTTAGTAAGTATTTAAAATATGGATTCTAAAAAGACATTTCAATTTAGTTTGTGCTTATTTTTACCACTGTTTATTCCAATAATTTATATCCCACCTATTATCAGAAACTATATTTTTCCATTCACAATTTTAAAAATGATAACTGAAGCTAGCATAAATGATATATGGAGCTGCTTTTTATAAAATATTGTATATGTAATTAAAAACACACCGGAACTAAAAAGTATTTACTGTTTGATGGGCAATGATGGGGCCAAATGGCTTTCCCTGAGGAAAAGTGCAGTGTGTGTATCTAATTTTCATGACAAATGGTGAGGAAGGGGATCTCTTCCCCTAACTTTCACTGTGCATGCATATCACTTTCTCCCAGCCTGGCTCCGATATCAAGTGAGCTAAAGCAAAAGTGCAAGGGCATGGGGAGATAAAGACAAGATGGGCATTGTTCAGTTCCCCTCATCCATATGCCCCTTCTACAGTAAAAATTAAACATTCCCCGCCCTTGATCTGCAAACAGTGGATACAAGAACATCCATTTGTGCCTCCTAAGCCTGTCCCTAGAGAGCCAGAACAGATGTTGCCAGAGCCAACAAATATGTGAAAATAGTTGCTCACAAGTCTACTTGTGAGCAAGTGCAACATCTCTTTTAGGTTCACATGGGGATATGACAGCAGCTGCTACTGTGCTAAGAAAAACTGCACAATCTATTAATATAAAAATAATAAAACTTGAAGTTTTTTCTAATCACTGATGTAGCTTCTGCAATCTTCCATGTGGCCATGCTTTCAAGTGTAAATTTTAAAAGACAAAAGCAAAGGGGGATGTTTTTCAAAGTAATATCTGCAATGGCTCTGAATATGGATATCAAAGATGACAAAAAACAGTTAGTTCTAAAATGCACACAGGTGTGTCCCTTTCCCATTAAACAATAAGGGTGGCCCAAGAGGTTTTAAAGATTATTGACTAGGGGCCACCAGGTGGCGCGTTGGAAGATGGCCGACAATAACATCTCTCTGACCCATATGAGGTACTAAGGGGCTGCTAAGGGAAGTATGCAGCCTTCCTAAGCTCCCCCAGGATGTGGGGGAGCACTGTCCTGCCAGCGGTGTTCACAATGCACCCCCTGATACGAGTGATGGGGGTGCCGAACACTTGGCACAGGCCCTCGGTGAAGTCAGATCTTCCTGACGCCGATTCCAATTAGCGCGTGCTGGTTGCTTCAGCTTGGAATTATAATTGGAAACATATGATTGGAAACGAAGCTGAAAGCACATACATCAAGTAAAGCTCGACAATAAGACTGCTGATTAATGGATCTCTGCGACCAGGAGTGACGGACGGATAAGTAAATCTTCTGATGAATTACCACAAGGACTGTATGTTTGGAACGAAGGGGGGGTGGAGGAAAAAACTCTTTTTTTTCTCTGCATGATGTGACATTAATAACCATTCACCCCAGATAGAAACAAGATTGTTGCGTTTTTATGAATCATAGGCAGGATTTTAAGAACTATGTGGGATGGATTAAAACAGGAAAGAAGACTGGAGAATGGTGAGAAAAGAGGAAAATTCTTATGACGCAGTTAAAATATGGCGTCTCACTAAGACAGGCTTGTCGGAGGAAGAAGGACTGGGGGAGGAGAATCAGGACTGTTCGAATGAGAAGGAATGTTGGAATGCAAGTTTGACCTGACAGAGCCCCCAGACTCATTTGATCTGATTTATTTGAAAAATAAAGGACAGATCGGAGACTAATCTTGTGTATGGAAGTGTTGTACAGAGGCTGTCCCTGACCGATATGATTTTTGGAAGAGTACAAAAATCCACATAGAATGCCAGCTTTCAACCTGCTTGTGAAAATCATCAGAGATTGCAAAGAAAGGAATTTATGATAACAACAAGAAGAGAAAGGAAGTAATAAAGGACTATCCGGATCAAACTGGACAGAACTGTCTAATGAAAGCAGTAAGATAAGTCATGTGTTTTGGACTCGAGTGGAGCTTGATGTATGGGTACCCCCAACAAAATTTAAAATTTGGCTGTATAATTTGGAATTAATGTGATATGATAATGTGATGTGATTGGCCTGTTAATAAAAATTATTTTTTAAAAAAATAAAGATTATTGACTATGTTGTTCAGTATAAAGTATGTAAAATTAACTGAAGAGATTTACAGACCATCTTCAAGAACAGGTTTTGCTCAGAAATTTGGATAAAGGCCTGAATAAATCACCATAACTGTTTGCAATGCTTTTGCCCCTCTGGCTTTCAAGACATCTTCCCTGGCCTTGATCTCTAAAAGCAGGATCCTCTACCAACACACTTAAAAAAACCTTAACATCTGTAGGGAGAAATTAAGGAGTTTTAAGTAAAATATTTTGGGAAACTGTTTGGTATGTACAGACAGGAAACATTTGCTAAAATAATTTCAGTCAGTTCCTACAGAACGTTTGTGTAGTGGGTGGAATGGGGAGGAATTAGACACATAAGCTCAACTGGGTTTGGAAAACAGATTTAGAAAAGTATTTCTTGAAACTTATCAATACCTATCTGAATGAAGACCTCAGCTTAGTGTCAATTGCAATACAGTTGCTATATTTCTGTTATTTTGCTACACCGAGTTTGGGAAATGCAGTTCATCTACATACCTGAATATTTTATTTAGGAGTTTCTCTTTGTTCTCACTGTGATATTAACAAAGACAGTATCTCTGACACAGCAGTTTGTGAAGTTTCAATCCTAAAAATGTGGTTATTTTGTTCAGGAAGCTTACGATGTTTACACATCAATGGTTTCCCTGACAAACTAATAAATTAATGAGAAATGGAGACAGGACAATTGTACCTTATATTGTGCCAGTTATTTATTTTACACACTTTTGGCTGTGTAATTGGCCCTTATTAGGAAAAGGGTCCAGGAGACGGAAATGCTTTCTCCAGGCCTCTGCTACCTAGGAATCCAGAACCATCAACCACCAAACGTATGTATGCATTAAATAAAAGTACTGTATTTTTTGCTCCATAAGATGCACCTGACCATAAGACGCACCTAGTTTTTAGAGGAGGAAAACAAGAAAAAAAATATATTCTGAACGAAACAGTGGATGTATGATTTTTGCGGTTCATGCTGTGGCCACAGACATGATATGTGATTTGACGGTGACTTTGGGGTAGCCCAATGCAAAAATCCTGAGAATCCATTTGGATCCGTGCTTTGTAACCATGTTTTTGCACCATTGCGGCCCCACAAAACAGTGGGTGCGTGATTTTTTTAGTGCAGGCTGTAGCCATGGACATGCTATGTGATCTGATGGTGAATTTTGGGTGACCCAATGCAAAAATCCTGAAGATCCATGTGCTTTTACCTCCTCCCTCCCAGGCTGCCTCCTTTATCTCTACAGTCCCTTATCTCCCTCCTGATCGCTTGCTGATCAGCTGCTCAGCTGCTTCCTTTCAACACCCCCTTCCCTCTTGTTTGCATTAGTGTCTTTTCCTTAGCTGGAGCAGTTTTTTGCTCCTCCTTTTCTTCTAATTTCTCTCCTCATTGTTTTAGTATTCCTGTCTCCTTTCCTTTACCTCCCCCCTCCCAGGCAGCCTTCTTTATCGCTAGCATCCCTTATCTCCCTCCTGAATGCTTGCCGATCAGCTGCTCAGCGGCTTTGTTTCAACACCCCCTTCCCTCTTTCTAAAAATAAAAAAAAGCACAATCTGCTTTTTGCCCATGGGCAATTTGGCTCCAGGGACCATGCATTTGCTCCATAAGACACACAGACATTTCCCCTTACTTTTGAGGAAGAAAAGGGTGCGTCTTATGGAGCGAAAAATACGGTAAGTACTTAAAGACATCTGTCATCTACAGATGAATGGCTGAAGTGATGTGCATTACAAGGCATAGCTGGGGATAGTAGAGCCTCAGAACTGTAGATTTGGAAGGTATCCCAAGGGTCATCTAGTCCAACCTCCTGCAATGCAGGAATCACAACTAAGAGTAATGGTTTGGTCTCTTTCAAAAGGTCAGTCACTGAGCAAAGAAGCAATTAAGGGAAACCTGCAGGGAGTAGGGGTAGTCATAGCTCACAGAAAATCCAGCTGCACAAAGAAGGACTTTCTTTCATCTGTCCTGAATCTTCCAATGCTCAACTTCATTGGATGTTCATGAGTTTTATTGTTAGAGGGAGAAAAGCTTTTATAAACGTCTAATAAACATCTTTTATAATTCTATGTCTTGCATAATTTTATAACTGTCTACTGTGTCACCTCTTACTTACCTTTTCTCTAAACTCAAAAGTCCTGAACGTTGCCACCTTTCTACATAGGGAAGTTGCTCATTCTACTCATTACTATAGTGACAAATTTCACGACCCCAAGCCTCTATCGTTTTATGAACTTTAATTCAGAAGCTGAGCTCTCAGCTTGCTAACTCTCATGTTCTTTAATTCCCCCCTCATAAAAATGAGAAAGAACACCATTTTTTTTAAAAAAAAACCACATTGCTGTTTCGAGACTACACCACCTTCCTTATTCTGTACATTTCTAGTGATTCTCCCCAGTGATCTAGAAGCTACAAGCAAGGCTCCCTTCTCAAGTATCACAAGCAAACACAGTATCCTACCACTATGCTGAACAGCTAAGAGGCTCCTGGGAGGCCAGAGAGACACTGCTGGAACAACTCTTGGGTTGGGGTAACTAGCTAAAATGTTTTAAACTGTTCTAATTTTGGTTCCCCTGTTTTGTTTTTGTCATTTTGTGTTGGCTAAATGTTTAGTTGAGGTTGGCGGTTATTTTAATTTGGGTAACTGTAAACTGTTTATTGTTGTTGTTGTTGTTGTTATTATTATTATTATTATTATTATTTTCTACTGATTTATTGGTTTGTTTCTTGCTTGTATAGGGTATTTTTTAATGTTTGATGTTTTGTTGTGACTTTATATATGTTGTAAGCTGCCCAGAGTGGCTGGGGCAACCCAGCCAGATGGGTGGGATATCATAGAATTAAAGAATCATAGAATTGTAGAGTTGGAAGGGACCCTGAGGATCATATATAAATTTAACCACCACCAGCAGCAGCATTAGGATCAGGACAAGTATTAGTCACTTCCAGGATAAAATGCCTGAACACAGGACTGTGCTACTTTAATGTCTCAATAATCAGAGTGTGATTGAACTTTTTGCCAGATGACACCCACCACTGAATTGAAAAATTCCCCTGTAAGTTACACTTGATATGAGACTGTTGCTGAAAAGTGTTCCATGTCATGTACTCCATCCTCAGTTTAGTGTTGGGGGACGCTTACCTGTGTTGCAATTTCCTAGGCCCCTTGACATTCTTCCTGCTGTCCCCCCACCCAAAAAAAATCCTTTTGCACAGGACCATAGGATTTTTTTGGGGGGAGGGGGGGAACCGTTCCTGTGAATGGGGACTTTTTGCAAACCCTTTTTTGCTGCAGGGAGTGGGGGAAGAATTGATGGAGAAAGGGAGATAAAGTTTAAATGATTATGTGGATGATGTGCAGATGTTTGGAATGACAATATGGATGGATGGTGTATAGACAACTGCATACGTATTAATGGGGGAAGAACAGAGGTGGCTTTGGCACCACCCACTTGTGGCTCTGACACCACTCACCATTGGCACGTAGCCCCCAGAATGTTACTCTCAAGCTGGAAAAGGTTCCTCAACCTTATCTTAAAGGAAGGCAAAACTGTATTTGGATCACATAATTTTTGTCTGCACCTTTGTAAAAATGAAGCTCAAAACAAAAGTTCAGAATTAGGCTACATTTCTTCCACAAGTAGTTTGTCAAGCAACAGCTACAGATGAAAACTGTTTGATGTAGAGTCAAATATAAATACGGTCTTGCGGTTTTTCATGATTCCTGGTAAAAAAAATCCAGGCAAAGGAAAAAATCTCTTTCCTGGAATGTGAGTCAAAGAAGATAATGTAAACAGATTTTATCATGTTCAGAAGCAGTTACTTTTTTATATTAAGCTTGTGTCTGAGGAATCACAGCAAGTACACAGCTGCATATAGTCGCAGCTACTTCAAAAGACCCATCTATCAAGAACAAGATGAACTGAAATGCAGTACAGAAACTGCTACAATCAAGGTTACAAACATGAAGGTGTAAGCGAGCAGGCTGCATACTGTATGTCTAACTCAGTAACAGTTGCTAAAAATATTCCTATTGCACTGAAAAACTATGTAGAAAAGTCAATTTCTCAGGAAAAATGTGTAAGTAAAGCTTCCCTTTGACCACATTAAGTAATCCTTCACATACCATTCATTACATGGCTTCACTGAGCTGGTACATATAAAATGCTGCTCAGTCTCCTACCACAAAGAGTTATATAAGGAAGGGCGTCCTATGGATTCATTAACTCCCCCCTAACAACTCCTCCTCTTTAGTTTTACCACATACATTGTCACAAACTATAAGGAGTGCCAAGATACAGTTTACAACCATGGTTAGAAACAGGTTTGCAAACCCTAATTCCAGTATGAGTGGGGTGGGAGAGCTGAAAAAAAAATTCTATCTGAAACCAAAGCGGCACATTGGTTGCCAGATGTGAAATATATTGGCATTCTTTTCCACTCTCCCACCCCACTATATAGACGTTGCACTAACCAAGATTAGTTGTAAAACTGAAAGGACAATGCTTGTGTGAAAGTGGAGGATTGAAGAGAATAGGTTTGCTTTTCACCCACCATTCTAACAGGTTCTGGATTAAGCATCAGCAAACAGACCATTAATGAATTGAAACCGTGTTTGATTGGGACACTTTGAGCCCTTGCACCTTTTATGTATGGTGCTTTGGATTTCTCATTCATTGAAACAGGGATAGGACTAAGCTGAAAGGCAAGGGTGGGGAAGTGGATTCAACCAGCGGGCTGGATCCTTATCTCCAGCATGCCCTGCAGGCAAAGTTTAAAAGGTCGGGGGAGTGTAACCACCTAACATCTAATGTTACAATGGTACCAGATGACCAGTTTTCACCCACACAGCTTGCAGACAGCTGCATGTAGCATTTTGTAAAACAGCCATGCTAGGTGCTAGGCACAGGCATTTGCAGGTGCCCACAAATGCATTTTTGGCCCAGCTGCCTTTGTACCTGCTCCACATCTTATATCATATACAAAGCCAGGAGTGGAACAAATGGCTGTGGCTTTGTTCCAACAGCCTCACAAGCCAAATGAATATGTGTGGTGGGTCTCATTAGGACAATGGATCAGAGGTTCCCTACTGCTGCCATAAGAGTAAAAATATTGATTTCTCACTAAAGGGCCCTCTCTGCCCAAAATACCACAAGGCAAATCACAAATCGCCATAGTTAAGGACTACCTGGATAGCAAATTGTGGAAGGCCGAGGCTGTGCATGAACTATACCTTTAAAGCACTTTTTATTTCTTAACCAACTACAATGCCCAGAATTCTTTCAAGGAGATACAGTGGACGCTCGCGCTGTGAACGTGATCCGTGCAAGATGCACATTCACAGCCCACAGCGGCGTGTCTGCGCACACGCGGGTGGAGATTCGGCGCTTCTGTGCATGCGCGACCGCCGAAACCCGGAAGTAACCAGTTCTGGTACTTCCAGGTTTCAGCGGGTCGGTAACCCAAAAAAATGCAACCTGAAGCGTCTGTAACCCGAGGTATGACTGTACACTATATAAATTATAAATTATTATATAAAATGTGCTTAAAATGTTCTTTAAAGGTATAGTGGGTACCCAGGCTTACACAAAAGTTTAATTATTTCCCTCCAGACCAGTGAACCTCTCAACAGAGAGTTAAATTTAATTAAATAACAGTTCATTGTTGCACCCAATTTATCTAAACATAGCCATACTATATGCTATGGTGGTTCATAATAGAATTATTATTATAATCAAAGGAACAGAGTGAAGAATTACACAATAATTTCAATACACCAAAGGAAGCTTTGGACTTGAGTTTCTCCAACAGCAGCCATTTAGGCTGCACAGCAAGAAACATTTGAAATCCCGTAATGTATCTGGGATACAATATGGATACTTAAAATGTAAGAAAATCCACTGCACATTTAATATGCTCTTATATGTCTAAGTAGCTCTTTGAATTCTGTCCCAGATATACATATTTTTATATAAACTTTTGCAAAGAGACATTGCAATTACTTGAGCAATAAGCAGTTCTTCACACTTTTGTGCCTGTTTTTCAATCACAGATGCATACTGTTTTTCAATGGTTTCTTTGCGTTGCTGAACCGTAGACTGCAGTAAGGCCTGAAACAAAGATACAGCAGATTGGTATAAATGGAGAAGACAGTCAGCCTGTGACTATAAATGCATGCAAATAGAATTTGGTATCAAAGTACACCCACAGATATGTACAATTTCTAAGGCAAATGTTAATATTAGTCTAATGCAAGTTTTATATTTCTGCTAACAGAATTACATTCTTGCTTCTCATGTTCCTTTTTAGAATCTTACATTCGAAAGACTGGTAACAGATAGGGAAGGTGAGTAGTGCTGTTAAACAGATCCAATTCAGTGGGACCACACAAGACGAAATGCTTATGTGAGCCATGGAGGCGGGGGGGGGGGGAGGCCAGACATATTTCCCTGGCTGACAAAACTCCACATCCTCTCAGCACACACTGTTAGATCCCATGGGCCAAGCATGATCTTCACAACCACAAGTAAAAACAGATGGAAATTATGAGTTATTTGAAAACATAGAAGCAATGCCCCCAAAATAGTTCACGCACCAACTTGAAGAGATCAGACATCAGAACTGTGAACATTAAGAAAGTCTCCCCCCCCCCATAAACCCCACCAACATGCTAAAACAGCAGTATGACACAAGCAGAATCAGAGCCATACCAGGCTCAGGTAAGCAAAGCAGGAGGGGGAAGGAATCTGCCTTCGAAAAGGGTTATAAGAGAAGCAAGCTCATATTATGCCCAGCAATTTCCTTTAGTTGATTGCTAGTCTTAGCTCTGTCTCATCCTTCCTGCAGTGGCACCGTCTAATTCAAATTCTAATACCATATGCTATTTACATTATTCCTTTAAAACGGATGTTCTATCCACTCAAAAGATATAACACTATGGTTAAATAGGCAACATAATGTTTAAATAAGTTTGACTGAACTATTTGCAATTACAATTATGCTAAAAGAGGCTTATTTTATAAAAAGCAGATCCTTGGCATGCACAGACAGCCAGGCAAGCAAGCAAGCACAGCATTCCAAATCTAAAATAGATTTTTGGTTTTGAAAAATAAAATATGTATTTGGTGGAAAGCATTAAGCAAGATGCAAACAGCCTAGAACAACAAAAAACCACACTAGTCATTGGCATTTTCCAATTACCTGTCTCAGCAAATGCTGTTAATACACCTATTTGCTGCCTTTTAGCACTGTACTTGCCTCTCATACCCATACAGTGCTACTTGCAGGCTTTGACAACATACTCACCAGGGCAATTAATTACTTCAGTTACAATGAGGTTCTCAGGTTTTGCAATTTTTGCGGCTTATCATCTCAAATTCAGAAGGTGAGGAGACAGGGCAAGAGCCAATCTCTCTGTAGGTTACCTGTAGTTATTTTATCAATGCTAATCAACTAAGCAGGGAACCAAGATGAAAAAAAGCTAAATTGTTTTTAAGTACCAAATCTCTTTCCATCAGCAACCCTTGAAGTCAATGAGAGAATGGATAGCCTGTTTCCTAACTTAAGGGATTACTACTTCAGGCTAGCAGTTAAATGATAACCATTCTCTGTAAGGGTTTATTTTTATTATTTCTAAGGAAACACTTAAAAGCCACCTTGCTGCTGAAGGTCATTGATAACACTCAGTGTTATCAAAAGTAAGCAGCACTGCTTTCGTAAGTGAGCACCACTGAGCTTAGTGGAACTTACTCCATGGTAAGTTCCTACATATGCATAAGACTGGATTGATGCCACACACAAATGGTAGTCCTTAGGGTGCTGCACGATTCCTCCATGAAAAACTGCAATTCTTCTTTCAACATGGCAATAAAATCTGGTAGCCAGAAATTAAAACAGGCATCTTACTAGCCAAAATACACATTTCCCTACGCTGTAATGTTCACGTCAAATAACAACAATGTAGGTGTTTAATATTTGAGCATATATAAAGCACATATATTTTTATGTAAAAAAGAACAGTCAAGCATTTGAAGGGAAGTAGGAGATAAAAAGCTGTAGAATGACCAATGTCAAATGTTCAGCAACTTGCAAAATGTCTGACAACACAATCCTATATATGTCTACTCAGAAGTAACAAAGCATTGAATTATATAACTCCATCAATTTCACCAGTTAATGGGTGTGCCTGCTAGTAACATAAAGTAATGGTTAACAGTTTACAGTAAATGCATTGATCTCTTTCTCCTCTCTGCTAGCAAGTGGGAACAGCAAGCCTTGGGTAAGTGTTACATCAAAACCAGAGTTCATGGTTTGTTTCACTTTAAGCAAACTGTGATCTAAAGCCAAAGTTGGTTGTTTTTTTACCAACAGTGGGGGTTTTTTTGGTTAAGTAAACCACAATCCCTGGTTTGAAGTGGAAGCAGGAGCAGGAGCAATCTGTGTGCTTACAAAAAGCCATGATATGGATATGCAGTCAATATCCACAATTAAAATGCATATAATTTTGTTGCATTATCATGATAGGACTGGGCTTCACAGTTGGCTAGTAGAAACCAGTGCTTGGCTACAAAGCCCAACTGTAATTCTAGGTACTTGCAGCACATCTTTTTTCAGTAAAAATTAAACTTAGTTTTTCAAACACCAACATTCTTAGAGCAAACAAGCTTAGGGTACACCTCTTAAAAGGTGTTTTGTTTTGCCAATTCAGAGCTATACAGTGCTACCTATAGTTACAAACTTAACTCATTCCGGAGGTCCGTTCTTAACCTGAAACTGTTCTTAACTAGAGGCGTGCTTTCGCTAATGGGGCCTCTTGCTGCTGTTGCACCGCCGGCATACAATTTCTGTTCTCGTCCTGTGGCAAAGTTCTCAACTCAAGGTAACTCTTTGAGGTTAGCTGAGTTTGTATCCTGAAGCGTTTGTAACTCGAGGTATCACTGTATAGATTTCAAACCAAGCTAAACATGGGTAGTGCTATCTAACAGGAATATTATTAAAATTATCACATGTAAATAATAATAATATATATATATATATATATGTATATATATATATATATTATTATTTAATGTATATTATATATTATATATATATATATATATATATATATACCATCTGGCTGAGTTTCCCCAGCCACTCTGGGCGGCTTCCAACAGAATATTAAAATACAATAGTCTATTAAACATTAAAAGCTTCCCTAAACAGGGCTGCCTTCAGATGTCTTCTAAAAGTCTGGTAGTTGTTGTTCTCTTTGACATCTGCTGGGAGGGCGTTCCACAGGGCGGGTGCCACTACCGAGAAGGCCCTCTGCCTGGTTCCCTGTAACTTGGCTTCTTGCAGGGAGGGAACCGCCAGAAGGCCCTCGGCACTGGACCTCCATGTCCATGCAGAATGATGGGGGTGGAGACGCTCCTTCAGATATACTGGACCAAGGCCATTTAGGGCTTTAAAGGTCAGCACCAACACTTTGAATTGTGCTCGGAAACATACTCGGAGCCAATGTAGGTCTTTCAAGACCGGGGTTATGTGGTCTCAGCGGCCATTCCCAATCACAGGTCTAGCTGCCGCATTCTGGATTAGTTGTAGTTTCCAGGTCACATTCAAAGGTAGCCCCACGTAGAGCGCATTGCAGTAGTCCAAGCAGGAGATAACCAGAGCATGCACTACTCTGGCGAGGCAGTCTGTGGGCAGGTAGGGTCTCAGCCTCCGTACCAGATGGAGCTGCCCTGGACACAGAATTGACCTGCACCTCCATGGACAACTGTGAGTCCAGAATGACTCTCAGGCTGCACACCTGGTCCTTCAGGGGCACAGTTACCGCATTCAGGACCAGGGAATCCTCCACACCTGCCCGCCTCCTGTCCCCCCAAAACAGTACTTCTGTCTTGTCAGGATTCAACCTCAATACAGTGGTACCTCGGGTTACATACGCTTCAGGTTACATACGCTTCAGGTTACAGACTCCGCTAACCCAGAATTTTTTTTTAAAAAAATAATTTTTATTAAGTTTCAGATTACCAAATTAAACACATCAAACCAATTAATCCAAATTATAACAATACATATCATGTAATCCAATTGTTTTCCATATTATAATTTTTTGTGGGGGGTACCCATGCTTCTTGATCGGCAGGAGTCCAATCCTCGAATATTTGTGCTGCTTTCATCTTAAGAATGATATTTCCAGTCCCCTCTTCTCAATCCTTGTCGTTACTCATTTTCCTTTTCATTCACCTCCGAGTTGCTCCGCAAGTGGGTTGAAAAAAACAGTCTTATTTGTGTTTCTGTGTGGGCTTTGTACTGCTCTCTCGTAAATCACTCTCATCCAATAGTCCAGGCATTTCCGCTCGAGTAAGCAATCGCCATTTTGTCGTTCCGATGAAATACAGTCTAAAAGCTCGCTCTTTAACTTTCCCGACCCGTTGCATCGTAAATTAGTCTTTTTCCAGGAGGGCTGCCCCTTCTAGATCGCAATCTCCTCGAAAATAATAAATCTTTGGCTCACCCTCCCCAAGACCAAACCTCCTGCAACACAGGTCTCGTATCAAATCTCCATTCTTACTGCGTCACAGGAGAGCCCTTCTTCTTTCCAAATCCTTCACAGAGTAAAACCTTTAAGTTCATATTATTCCCACACAATTCATTTTTAGTCCCATTTGCAATTAGTTGCTGTGACAGATCTTCTAAGAGGGAGGGTTATTAGGTAATCACATAGAGCAAAAAAATAAAAAGTCGTCGTCCCCCCCCCTTTCATTTCCGTTGCATTCCATTCCACATACCATGTCTGTAGTACTTTGATGTAATCTTCCGTCTCAGTCTTCTTCATTTCAGTGGTAAAATTGTTAGCAGATAAGAACCTCCTGCCTCTCTTGAAGCATGTGCATTATCTTTCACCAATTTTTTTCCTTTTAAGTAACGCAACTAGTTTCGCACCTGGAAGCAGCTTCGGAAGAGTTCCGAGGCCCGCCGAGGGTTGTGCACCCAGTGCCTCACCCCCTCCTTCTTCCGAACTCGGGGGTGATTTATGGCAACAGCGGGTGAAAACTGCATCTCTCCCCCCTGGAGAGATGAAGGGAGACTGATTTACTCCCCATAATCAGCCTCTAATTAC